TAGGTGCTCCCCTCCCTCATAGGTGCTCCCCTCCCTCATAGATGCTCCCCTCCCTCATAGGTGCTCTCCTCCCTCATAGATGCTCCCCTCCCTCATAGGTGCTCCCCTCCCTCATAGGTGCTCCCCTCCCTCAATAGGTGTTGCCCTCCCTCATAGGCGCTCACATGATTTCAAAAAAGAGACAGTGTCTGATAAACATCCCAGCGCAGTGTGGGTCACTTAGTTCTCAATAAATGCTCTCTGTCATTCTGTTGTGCTGCAGATGCCTAGGGATCTAGGATATACATTTCCCTACAGGGCTCATTCCCTATCCTTCCAACATATGGGTTAACATATTTCATTCATTTATCCGGTAAAGAGCTCTCAGGAGTCCATTAAGCGCCAGCTGCCATTGCAGTGCTGGGGATACCATAGCTAGAGAAGTAGACAAAAGTCCCAGATGGGGGGAACTCACACCACGGACCATGCCAGGGGTCTTTAGGTTGTGTGACAGTTGTCATTGACAACCTGACAAGGCCTAGAATAACCTAGGGGACAGCTCTCTGGGCACAGCCGGGAGGAAGTTTCTCCTGCATGAATTGAGGTGAAAGTCCACCTTAAATGTAGGCAGCAGCATCCCATGGGTGGCTCCGAGGCTGACTAAAAAGGAGACAGTGAGCTGAGCACCAGCACTCATCTCTCCTCTGCTTCCTGACTGTGGCTACAACAGGACCGGGTACCTCAGTCTCCTCCAGCTTCCATCACCTTCCTGTCACCGTGACATGCGGTATCCTGACATCCTGTATCCTCACCACACGACAAGACAAACCATTTCCTCCTTAAATTGATTTTGTCTGGCATTTTATTGTAGCAATAAGAAAACTGACTAATCCTGGTTGGTTCTGTAAGGCTGTGAGAAGGATGACCCAGGAGCCTCCCCCATGCCGGCCTTCATTTGCCTGAGCATCCCTGGCTGGGCTTCCCAGGTAGACAGGGATGAGTGGATTGGGAACCAGACCCCATCCTCACAGGCTCTCGCAGAGAGACCTTGGACTTCCTGTCTGAGGACTATGCCTCTGTACAGGTAGAGATGGTGTTTTAAAGATGCATGCTCTCCTGCTATGCCTCTGTCATGTACAACTTGAATCTATGTACCACCTTCACCCAGGACTGGGAAATCCCAGATAGAGAATACACATAGTCACTGTGAAAGACACAGGTGTAAGTTCCACATGTCTGTGGTATCTTAATCATTAGGTACTAATTGCTGTACCGTGTAATGAATTTCTTTCCTACATGGCATAAGTGTTGTAATTACAACCGACTCATTACTTCTAAACACATTAGTCTCTAAGCAGAAAGGCAAAGGTAACTCCTTGAGAGCTCTTTGCTCCAAATTTAGCAGCAGGGGTAGGAAATGGCCACGTTCCCTCCACTGGAGCAGCCGCCAGGGACTCCGCCCTGAACTCCCCTGATGGGTATCTTGGAGTTTCTTTTTCGTTTTGAGGAAATGAAGGTCCAAACAGTTAAGTGTTTTGTCAAACAACCCTATTGCCAGCAAGTAGCAGGACGGACCACTGATCATGGGGTCATGATGCCATCTTTTCCCCAACCATGGGCACCTGGGAGAGGACAGTAGAGGTGGAGTCTACAGGGGAAGTGGACTTTGAGAGAGTAAAGGCGGGGCTCCCCTCACTCCATCTGGCTAGTTCTCACCCTCAGTGGTTTTTAGAACACCCCTGGGTCCGCATAGTGTGGGCTGGTCTTGCAGTGAGGACATCATGAGAAGATATGGACAAATGGTTCTTCAGGCAGAGCTTCATGATTCATCAAAACATCCCTCCTGACCAATATTCTCGTGTATGTGTGTGTGTGTTTTCAGTGTATGCAAATGCAGGTGTGTGTGCACATGCATGTGTGTGTGTGTGTGTTTTGGTGTACACAGGTGTGTGTGCACATGTGTATGTATGTGTGTTTCAGTGTATGCAGGAGTGTGGAGGAGGTGGAGGTTAACTCAGATGTCATTTATGATGTTGTCCATTTTTTGAGACAAAGTCACTCATTGGAACCTGGGACTCACTGATTGGGCTAGGCTAGCTGGTCAGAATGCTCAAAGAATCCTCCTGCCTCTGCCTCCCCAGGGGTGGGATTACCAGTGCCCGCCACCACACCAGTCAGCTTCTTACCTGGGTGCTGGTGCTTGGACTCGGGTCCTTGTGTGGTAAGCATCCTACTGATTGAGCTAGACTCCTGGCTCCCTGTGACGACTATTCTTTAAAACCTTGTCTAATACTTGTCTGGCCTGCAGGTGAGTGGTGGGATTCCCATGAACTACAGGCATTCCTTGCAGCCTTCAGGGCTGAAAAGCCCTGCCAACAGTTCGATGGACTGCCCTTCAAAGCAGGCACCAAGGTTTCAGCTTATCAAGCCGATCAATGGTACCCACAGAGTTCAGAGAAAGTCTCTTTTCTCCATATAATTGTATCTCAGGGAAATTTTTTTTTTTATCAAAGGCCTGGCCTTTGATCTGACCATGCCCAGACAATATGGCTTTGCAAAAGAAAAAAAAAAAAGAAAGAGAAAAGAAAGTCTGTCAACTGCAGCGATGTATATAGAATCGGAGAACATAATGGTAAGTTAGTCAGGCACAGAAAGATAAATCCATGTGTTCTTGTTCATGTGTGAAAACTAGCGAAAGTTGATTTTACACAAGTAGAGAGTATGACAGGGGTCATCAGAGCTTGGGACCAGTAGAAGGCAGATGAAGTTGAATGAGATTAGTCATTGGCCAGAAAAGTAGAAAGGACTAAGTTCCCATATTGTGCACACAGATGGGCAGCTGTAGCTCATAAAGTACTGACTATACATTCCCACTGGTAGAAGAATGCATTTCAACAGTCTCCAACACAAAGCAATAAACTTCTTTGAAGAAAAGAGTATGCTAATTGCTGCCATGTGATCATCGAGGTTGTCCATATGCAATAGGATGCCATGCACACCTCACAGAGATGTCCAATTGGCATTTGCCAGGGAGAGAGTAATCATGAGAGAGATTTGGCTTGTACAGCAGGAGAGGATTTCCTCTGCTGCCTACCCTCTACCCTATGTGATTGTGTGTCTTAAAGTCAGTCAGTCAAAGGACTTGTGGTAATATTTCCCAACTGGCCAAGGGGCCAGGATGCCCCCGGGTTTCATCTGATCTCATGTTGAATAGTTACTATCCTGGAGACACAGGGTGGGAGTATGAGAAGAAAGAGATGTGGTTAGAGGTGGGAAGGGGTCTGGACATAAAGAGGTGAGAGACGCCTCTAGTCTCACTTGGGCACTGTCAGATGAGGAAAACTGAGAGCAGGAACAGCCTCACCTACACAAGGTAGGTGCTGTTTCAGTGAGGACATGCATCATGGCTTTTTTTTTTTTTTTAGATGTTTCAGATAAGACACTTAAGGGGTTCATCTCAGAGGCCCTTCTCAGGTGTACTCATGACCTACTTACCTGAATACCGAATCTTAAAACCCTTCCGGTTATAGGCGTGGTCAGATGACCAGCGCAGGTACACAGAATTGCTTGAGCTGGTGACAATCAGGGGAGCCGAGTAATTCCCACTGAGAGCTTTCAGTAGAGGACTTTGTCCTGAGGGACCTTGGGTGATAAAGACACAGGGTTATAGGTCATTCTAAGTCTAGAGAGAGGTATAAGTACAGATATGGCCTGGATGGCTGGGTGACATTGCATCTGGTAGCCTTGCTGAAGGACTCTTTTGCCCACCTTTATTTGAAGCAGTGTTCTGGGGTCAGCAAGTGAGATGAATCTATTTGCTGGTTGCCTGGGTCAAGCAGGTAGTTGATGGGAGAGCTGGTTTTCTAACTAGGACCCTCTTCTGGTTTCTTTTGTGCATGCTAAAAATAGCATGGTGCCCACCATACAGAAATTTTGTTTATTGAACAGATATAAACAGAGAGCCACAGAACCAGAGAAACAGATGGCTCTCAGGGTTGTAAGTAAGAACACTTCTCAACATGCCTCCTTAAGGCTCCCCAGGAAGGTACCTTCTTCCTATTTCCTACCTTAAATGTCTGGATTGCATCTCAGGGCTCTGGTCCAAGGAGTGCAATATAAATCTGGTAACTCATAACCCAGGATTTATAGTCCTGGAGAAGGCTGTGAATGACGGTTCCAATACTCTGTTGAGACAGCTCCTGGGAGCTTGGGAGAGTAATGGGCTACATTTAACAAAGCAAAGCCATTTGGGCTGCTGTGGTAAACTGGGAAGGAAGGGGTCCCGAAGAGAAGAAGCAACAGACTTTAACAGTTCTATTGTGAGGGAAAAAAAAAAACCCTTCTGCCTTACAGCTGTTTTCCTTGGGAAGGCTTGGGGAGACTCCATGGGGCTGATGAAACCAGGCTCCTTAGGAGTAAGTGGGATGAGAAGATTCTGGGACACAGTCTTCACAGACTGAAGCAAGAGTGCCATGATTGGAAGTGGGTAGCAAGGCTGGGGTCGTAGCTGGAAGGACTGAGCTATGGGCCCATGGGGATGGCCCACAGACTGTCATTACTCCTAAGGGCAAGCTAGCTGGGCAGCCAAAAAGAGCAACCAAATAATATGAATTTATGAGCAAAGTAGCTGCCAGAAGGCAAGAGAGCATCCGCAGGGGAAAGACTCAGCTCTCTGTCCGTCTTATAGACCCAAGCCAGGCTTCATTTCCCCTTCATTCAGAATAGTTTGGCTAAAGCAGAGGTTGGGTCTCCCCTGAAAAGGACCCCAGAAACTAATATCAACTATATATAGTTATCATTCCTCTGGTTCTTCCCTTTAGTGGTCCACCACAGTTTACTTGTATAGATAAATACTGGAAACATGAGAAGAGCCGAGGTTATTAAAGACTCTGGATATAGAATCTGGAGTGATGCTGACACCTGGGTATCCCAATTGTACCATGGCTGTTCTATTGGGTGGCAGCACATGAGGAGAAAAGCCATTTCTACCCCAGGGTGCACATTTAACTGGAGCGGCATGGTCCTGGTTACTTGCAGTTGTGGATCTGCAATGTGTTCTTCTCCAGGCTGTTAGGAAGGGGGAGCAGAAGCAGACCGCGCTGACGTGAGGTAGGCAACAGTGTATGCTCACAGTTATGTACCATAGCTCTGTTAATAAGCCTGATCTTTATCATGAGACAGTGAGAGGGGATGGGGGATCTGGACATCCTGCAGAATGTAGCCTCTTGGTTCTTTAAATAGATTTTTTTCCCAAAACCACTGGGACAATGAGGATAGCTATCATATCCATTTTCATATCCTCCAGAGGGTAGGAGATAAATCCTACAAAGTTTTCGATGGTATTTTGAGGGTTCGATGGTTTGGGACATGCTGAGATGTTTTCTCTAGACACAACAGCAAATGATAGCACCTCTTGCCCTGACACTAAAGAAGTAGTGTGGAGTTTGGTACTCCTTCTTGTGTTTTGGAAGAAGCCTACTCTTCACAAGGGGCTACTGCTGGGATCCACTTATTGGCTGGTATTCAGGGATTCAGGCTGGTATTCAGATCTATCTAGACTACAACGTAAGCAACTGCCATATAACTCATCAGTTCCCAGGTTTTGGGTTTCTATGGTTGACGCAGACATTATATTATGTAGTGCCTTCAGAAAGTTCTGATAAGAAAATGGAGCTCAAATAACCCCAGGGGCTGGGGGGAAGCTGTTGCTGTCTGTAGCGGGGAACTGCATGTTGTTTGAGGGACTCACCGTCAAAGATCTCAAACTCATCATACTGCTTCTCGCTGAGGAAGTACTCCACCGTGATAGAGATATTGTACTCTGGCTCCACCCTCACCAGCCAGGAGCAGGTCTGGAACTGTGGGTAGCTTCCGGGATAGCTCTGGCTAAGGATCACACCAGTGGAGTCTGTCAGGAGCTCATTGGTTGGGCAGTGCACTGGGAGAGAGAGAGAGAGAGAGAGAGAGAGAGAGAGAGAGAGAGAGAGAGACTGATTGACTATGTACATGGCATGGAGACAGAACAGGGTTGGGATATTAGCTTGTCCATGGAGTAGAACTATCTCTGTAAAGCTTGTATTGGGGTATTTAAACAAGTCCTCACATTCACCATTATACTGCCCCATGGCAGGAAGTAACTTCAGAGCCCATGTTAACATGACAGTGTTGTGGCAACTCACAGCAGGCCACTTGGTTCAAATCATTTCCTAGCTTGGGTGTGGTTGCTGCTACCTGGATTTGAGGTAGATGGGGGGTGGTCTATCTATCTATCTATCTATCTATCTATCTATCTATCTATCTATCATCTATCTATGCAACAGTATGACCACCTACACCCAAAGAGCCACTCTACAAAATGAGTTTAGTTCATACAAAGATAGAAGAGTGCAGAAGTAGCCATAGAAGATGGGTCAAACACAGCTGGACTCAGAGCCCAACTCTAAATCCAGGAGCAGGGAGAGTACACAGGTACTCATAACCTGTGTGGCCCCAATAAAGTATTCCCTTTCAGTGTGATGGCTTTTCCAACACAAGCAAGAAGTCCCTATCTCAGAGGATGGCTATATCATAGAAAACACTATGATACACTACATCAAACCACATATGTAGAGTCTGCAGCATAATGTCTCCACACACCACAGAGATAGTGGTGGTAACAAAGGTAACTGTGTCAGGAGCGGAGAGACCAGGAGGGTTGGCTGCTGCCTGATTCAGAGCATTATGGTGGTTCAAGAAAACAACGTTGTCCTAAGGAAGACTGTGTGGACCACTAAAAAGAAGAAGCATCAGGAGAAGGAGGAGAGGCAGGGAAGGGAGGGGGTAGAGGAGGGAGAGGAGCAGAAGGAGAAGGAGGTGGAGGAGCAGTAGGAGGAGCAGCAGTAGGAGGAGGAGCAGGAGGAGGAACAGCAGGAGGAGCATCAGAAGGAGAAGTAGGATCAGGAGCAGGAAAAGGAGATGGAGGAGCAGGAGGAGGAAGGACGAGTGGGAGGAGGAGGACCAGGAGGAGAAGGATTGGGAGGAGGAGAAACAGGAAGAGGAGCAGGAGGAAGACTTATGACACCACAAAAGGGGAGGAAAGAGGCTTGTACAGAGGAGCTCTGTGGACCCCCAGGCACGGGGGCTGTGTTCTGTCCTGGAGCACAGGGAATTGTCATAATAATGTGCATGGAACAGCTTTCTGGATAATTTGCTTCTCTTTGCTTGGTCTGAAACTGAGGCAAGGCTTCAAGGACTGAATCAGCTTTCTCTGGGCCCTCAGTAGCTTTGCAAGTTTTCCAACCCCACAGCAGTCGGGGAGGGTCAGATGCCATCTTCACATGCTTAAAGCCATTGCTGCTCCCACTCCTCACAACAGCCCACAGTCCAAGTTCAACAACTGTCTCGGTTTCCAGGCAGTTACCAGCTCTGTGCCTCCTCGGGTGCTCAGGGGCGGGAAGGATTGGATATGGACTGAGCTGGAGTAACACGGTGCAGTGAGTTCATCTCTTCCAGGCACTGCACTGGGATGTGAGCGGCTGAAGTCTGGGGTCACAGGGTCACACGCACAGGATGTTGAGTACATTCGACCCCAGCAACAGGGTGACATTCCAATTTTTCCATGCCAACACTCAGTACCCAACTACGGAGAGCGCACAGGTGAGGAACAGGGGGTGGCTGGGCCCTTTCACAGCCTCCAGTCAGAACAGGTGGGGTCCTTGCAGAGGGTCTCGTTCACTCTGACTCATAACTCATTCATCATGAACCATTGACATGGTGATCTCTTTTCACTGGGCAAGAACTGAGCTGAGGGCCAGGGACAGGAAGAGGAACCCCCCAGAGATCTGTGGGGGTGCTGTTTAGTGTAATTACCTTCACATATTGGGGGTGGACCTTCAAACTGCAGGTAGGTTCCCAGCTTGCAGGTCAGGATTTCACTCCCCACTAAGGTAAAGCCTGGAAGGCACCTGTAGCGGACGATGTCACCTGTCAAGAGAGACGAGCATAGGCATCTCCTGGAGCAGTCTGACTCGGAAGGGTTGGCACCCTTAGGACCTCAAACCCACTGCCCTGGAAGGCATCATGCCAGCTCCCTGCTGTCCCCATGACCCAGACAACTGCTTCCCTCCCCACCTTAGCCTTCTGGATATTTCCTAAGAAATTGTAGGCTATCTTAAAACTTTTGAATAGCAGAGGGAAGCCGTGGTTCCAGCTCCTCCTTCTGGGGTTGGGCAAAGGAAGAGGGTTTGTACTTTCAGGGGTGCACTTGGCTGATAGAACACTGTCACTCCTGTGGTCTTGGTCTCTGTTACCTCTGCATAGTTGAAGCCATCACCCCAGTCCCCATGGCTCCCAGGCCCCTCTTGGCCACCCTGGTTTGAGATCTCTGCCTTTCAGTAGTGGTACCTATGTTGAATTCTTCGTTCTCTGTGACCACTTCAGCATTGGGGAGGATGGTTGGAGGAGGACACTTGGTGAGTGGATAAGCTAGAAAGACAGAAAGACACAGGTCAGGGCAAAGTGTCACTCTTGAGCCTTGGACCAGTTCCTAACAATCTCTGACTTCATTCATTCACCTTGCATATTTGTCTTTATTTTTGTTGAATTGGCACAAGGTCTTCTGATGTAGCCCAGGCTGCCCTGTGTTTACTTTGTAGACAAGGCTAATCTTTAACGATCCTCCCTGCCTCAGCTTCCCAAGTGCTTATCACCATGTCTGGTTTATGTGGTGCTGGTGACTGATCTGGGGCTCTGAATATGTTAGGTGAGTCACATCCCCAGCCGGTCATGGGACAGATGTGTATTCATGAGTATTTATCTCCACACTGGACCTGTTCAGCCACACACTGTATGGCTTCTCTTCAGTCATCAGGTTTTGGTACAAAACCCAAGGAGTATGCTTCAACTCTGGTTATGAAGGAAGGAAGAATTACATTGCAGACCTACCACTGGAAGATGTGGTCACTTTGACATGCAGTTGCTTTAAGAGACATAGTAGTCAGGGAGAAACCTAACCACTATAGCCTGGACCCCCAGTATTCTACAAGTATAGAAACAATGTTAACAAGGGGACCTCTGTGCGCGTTGCCTGCTCAGCTGCCCGGTTCAAACAGGCTATGGTTTTGGGTTGTATCCTTGTTTCTTTTCCAGTGCCTCTAAGTCATGTACTCCTCATAGTAAAGCCTTATATTATTTTAAATTAGCCATTCCCTTGGGCTGGAGTTATTAAGGGGCCTGTTTACCCAGAATGTATCTCAGCACATGTCATATCAAACTAGCAGTATTTCACATCTAACAGGATCCAAGAAGCGTTATTCAGTGATGTCACTGGCCTGAGGGTGGGATGGGGAGGAGCTGAGGACATCCTCCAAGCAGGGGCACTTCTGCATTCTAGCCCTCTAAATCCCCCAGCGCTGACCCTGAAGTGTGTTTCACCTGTGAGCCGGCGATCGCTTCTTCAAGATCCTGCAGTACATAACTGATGCAGGCAGGACTTAACTCTAGGTCTGGCCGATCCCAAGCTCAGGTCCTCCCACTGCCCACAGCCTAGCCTCCATCCTGGGTGTGTCTCCTCCTCTAACCTTTGTGCAAACACAGCTGACCTCAGTGGATTCTCTAAACTGGAGTCTAGCCTGTGGTCTGTGTGGAATTCTAACAGGCGGCTTTTATTTCCTGGCGCATGGCTGAGTGCTATCGATCCTCTTACTGCTGCTGTGGCTGCTTCAGCGACGATTGTTTCCCAAACCTCCACATCCCCAGCTATGTTTTTTAAAAAATGTATAATGTCATTAGGAACCCAGGGGTTTTCTATGAAAATGGTAGGAAGAAAATTAAATGTATCCATTGTCCTCTCAGGTGTAGCTACTGTTAATCACATGCTATGGCTTCCTTGTGTATTTGTTCCCTGCATAGTTAAGGGGTTTTGTTTTAACAGGTCTGCATCATGTGGTATTCACCTTGTGCTGCGCCTTGCCAGCTGCTATTATATCAGAAAACATTTCCCATACAATAAAATTTCTTCGAGAATAAGATCGAAATGACTTTGTGAAATCTAATCATATTCATTTACTAAAATTTATTTCAGATGCTCTTGTGTTAACCAGTGGGTTTCTTAAGTTTTTCCATTTAAAACTGTGACAACATTATTTACCCATACATCGCATGTGTCTCATTTTTTTTTTTTAAAGACAAAATCTCATGTATCTCAGGTTGGTCTCAGCTCACTATGCAGCCAAGGATGACCTTGAACCCATGATCCTGCCTCCATTTCTCCAGTGCTGGAGTTCCAGGTGTGTCTCACCATGGCTGGCTTCAATGCATCTTTTGTATTTTTAAACAGTCTTCCTTCTTTTCCTTCTACTGATTCTTTTAAACTAGAAATCATTAAAGCATATAACCTTTATAGAACATGCAGGCAATCCCTGTCAAATGTCAGTAACGTTTTCCTGGATATTAGTACTCAAACCACTTTTCTCCACACTTTAAGAGAGAAATGATTCTACTGAGTTGGACATCAAAGTCCACAAGGAAATTAAAACACAATAAAAATGTGTGTGTGTGTGTGTCTGTGTGTGCCTGTGCACATGTATGCAGTAATCCTAGTTATGATAGAAGCTGGGTGCTTAAAAACATCAGTTCACGATTGCCTACAATTAACATGGCTGTAAGAATCGCTTGGTACATTGATGGGAAAGTTGCATCCTGGCATCACCGATATTCAGTGTGGTGTGTAAGACTTTCCAGTTTGGGGACTTTATGTGGAAGTCACAATGGGGCTGTCACACTGTGCAGTCTGACACCCTCCTGAGACCACAGCATCCCAGATACAGCTCCCATCATGCAATTGGAGCTACCTTCCAAATATTATTGCCTTGGGATCTGACATTTTACCAAGTGAAGATGGAAAGAAACTGGACACTTCACCTGTGTCTACTTTTGTGTGAAATGTTATATCCCACTAGGAAATCTAACTTTAAATTTTTATACAGATGTGTTGACTCACAAGTGCCACATGAAAGAGATACAAGCTTTAGCAGTAAGTGTACCAACACTTAGGAGGCCCTCGTGACATATCCAAGTGGCTTTCTGCCTGATTTGACAAAATCCAGAGCAGTGTCTGCCCTTGAGGAGTGCTTCCATTTTTCTGTCTAGGAATGCTGCTTGACTTGGACTGTCAGCAGATGACAATTGCCGTGAGGCAGGGTGACACCTTCTTCCTTACAAGCACTCCTAAGATGACCTGTTGTGGGGTTCACCTTGCCCAGAACTGTGTGGGTGCTGAAGATTCAGGAAGCAACATCTTGTTCTTTTAAAAAATACAACCCACTATGTGTAGAGTCATCAACTGGCTTGACAAACATCCAGTAGTTCCTTTACTTTTATTTTGGGGCGGTGTGTATATACTTCTTGTGCATGTGTGTGTGTGTATGTGTGTGTGTGTCTCTGGGAATCTGCTTGTCTCTATGTCCCCGTCCACCAGTACTGGGGTTACAAGAAAATGTCAATACCCTCAGCTTTTACATGGGGGCAGGGGATGTGGTTACAGGGGTGCAGGGATCTGATTACAGAGGTGTGGGGGATCTGATTACAGGGGTGCAGGGATCTGATTACAGGGGTGCAGGGATCTAATTACAGGGGTGCAGGGGATCTGAAGTCAGACCCTCAAGCTTGTGCAGAAAGTGTTTTACTTATTGAGCCCTCTCCTCAGCACTCTTTGATTATTTTTAAGTTTTTCATATGTTAATGCATTTTGCATGTTAATAATTTGGATTATTCTTTTCAGCTGTCCAGCCATGTCCTTTGTCCCTGCTTTTTGTATGGAGTTGGAGGACCCTCTGAATATTCCAGATTTACCTGGCTTGCTAATTCTATGCACGTTGTCTATCATTTGTTTCATTTTACTTACGCCATTTTTCAATTTCTAGAGATATGAAAATCTTATTTAGTCAGCTGTCATTTTCCTTAACAGTTACAAAAAATGAATCGATCTCTTCTGGGCCTCATACTTGCCTTTGAAACTTCTAAGGCGTGACCAAGTTTTCTAGAAAAACAAAATCAATACAAAGAAATCTGCCCTTAACGCAGCTTTCAGAGTTTGCATTTTGTGGTTGTCAGGGGGATTTCTCATTGCATTACATTTTCTAAAATTATAATTTTTTTGTTCCACATAGAAAGTGTGTGGAATACTGACAAGCAACAGACAAAAGTGCCTGAAATAAAAACAAACAAATCATTAACCAAAACAACCAGTCAACCAACTAACCAACCAATCAACAAACAAAACTGTCACAATATTGGTACACACCTTTGACCCCAGTACTCTAGAGGCAGATTCAGGGGAATCACTGTGAGTTCAAGGCTAATATGTATATGTGTGGTGTGTGTGTGTGTGTGTGTGTGTGTGTGTGTGTGTAGAGGGAGAGACAGAGAGACAGAGACAGAGACAGAGGAGTACACACACACACACACACACATACACACACACGTTGGGGGGGAGTGGCAGGGGGGAAGGGAGAATGCTACAGGCCAGCCAGGACTACAGAGTGAGACCCAGTCTAAAAAACAAAGCAACCAACAACACAGAACAAAACATTCCTGAAAATCCCTCTCTAGGCCTAAGGAGTCTCAGCCATTTTGAGTATGGATTCATGTTAACAAGTTTTATCCCCAACTGAAGTTGTCTTACCATGTCTTCTGTGATCTCAGGACATACCCCAAGGTGAAGACATTCAAGACAAGACTCCTTTGTTTCATTTTCGCTGTCCCCCTTTCTCTCTGGGGTGAGGCATATGGCTTGCCAGGTCCTTATTGTGGCAGCTGGTTGGTGTTGGTCCATTGTTCAGGCCATTGGAGTGAGACAGTGCTGTAGTTAGGTGAGACTAGCATAGGTTGAAGTGGTGGCTAGTGGGTAGAGGGGTCATTGCTTCAGGTCTGTTGCAGCACACGCCAGCTTCACATCCTGCTCTTCCCATGTGTCCTTCCCAGGTAAGGTGTTCCTCACTAGATTGGTCTTTGACTTGAATATTTCAAAGCAGATGTGGTTCACAGGATTTGTTCACACTTAACAGACCAGTTGCTGGAACTCTGATTTTGAGTTTGGTGTTCAAGCTTCAAGCTTGGGTACTATTACTATTCAAATGCCTCCCTCTGGCACTGTTCTCTCTCTCTCTCTCTCTCTCTCTCTCTCTCTCTCTCTCTCTCTCTCTCTCTCATGTTACAAGGATAGTGGCTTAGTGTATGGAGGAGCCTCTAGCTACTGCCTCCTGCTAGCATTTGAGATCTGACAGCAATCTGTTTTTTTTTTTATTACTCTGAACAATATAAAACAAACCTGCCCTTATGTCAATGGACTGTATCCTGCATGAATGATATTTAGTGACTACATCTTTATCTGTGTGTATGTACATACAAGCATGTGCCTGCGTGTGTACAAATATGTTTATACATATAATTCACATACTCATCTATTGTTTTACACTTAGATTATT